TATATACAGTATGTGTATATATATATATATATATATATATATATATATATATATTTTCTACCAAAAAAAATCATACAGCTGGCTATGAGGCTAAATAATAAGATAAGTTGTTGGCCACTGTGGAGTACTTTTGCAGACTAGGTTTTCAACATAAGTGAGACTTCTCACTAGACACTGCAGTACTGAAGGGAGCTACTTGCTACTTAGAAAAGCACTATAAAGTTATGCAGGCGATGTCATGAAGTCCAATCCGATGTACAATGAATCCATGGACCTCAGATTGGAAGTGAACTTGTAACAGGGAATCGGTACAAGTACAGAGACTAACAAACAGCGCTGGGTGCAATCAATTCAAAAGCAGCAAGCTAAATAATAAGATAAGTTGTTGGCCACTGTGGAGTACTTTTGCAGACTAGGTTTTCAACATAAGTGAGACTTCTCACTAGACACTGCAGTACTGAAGGGAGCTACTTGCTACTTAGAAAAGTACTATAAAGTTATGCAGGCGATGTCATGAAGTCCAATCCGATGTACAATGAATCCATGGACCTCAGATTGGAAGTGAACTTGTAACAGGGAATCAGTACAAGTACAGAGACTAACTGGGTGCAATCAATTCAAAAGCAGCAATAAATGCACAAGGGGCAGCGACAGCAGCTATCTACAGAAGATATAGATTAAAAAAAAAAGATACAAAAATTAAGGTTACAGGTTAGCACACACGGTAGATAAAAAAAAAGATAAAAAAATTAAGGTTACAGGTTAGCACACAATTGAAGGCAAAGATAGCAGTTGTGGGGACAGGAGACAGTATCAGAGGGTCACTTTATCAATCCTACCGTCAGGCCTGTCTTTGACACTCCGTATGCCATCTCAGGCCAGCCACCCTGCTTGTGTTCATTTTTCTTGGTCAGGTCCACAAACTGCTGCATCAGCTGCACAAGCTCGTCCTCTGTGATGTCCTCACTGCGGAAACGCTGCTGCAGCGCAGGGCTGCAAAGGTTTAAAGTGCGGACACTGACGAAGCTTGAGACGTTCACAACACGACCTAAGACATGACACATAAATAAGGCATGTATAAAAACACACGATTACCTCCTCTGAGTGTTACATTGACATCTGGTAATATGAGAGTCATACGTCATCATCAGTTAAAGTGGGAAGTCATGTTTAAATCAAAATGATTCATGGAAGTAACGACTCTTTATTTCTCTTTATATTCTCCATTTATTTCTACACGTGCAAATGGTGTTCCACCATACTGGTCCTTCCTTGTAGAATTCTGCAGGGAGTCTTTCACTCTACTGTATATCAGAACTTACTCTTTGACTCGTCTGACAGTTCGATTTATTCCTTTTTATATTCAACATTGAATTTCACAGGCTCAGGTGTGTGGACTTTGTTATAATTTTAATTTCTTTTATCGAGTGTATTGGTATATGCATGTTTTATCTCTAGTGAAATACACTAAAAAAAATCAAAGATTAATTTTGCTTTAATCTTGGTTGGAAGGTGGTCAATGGTCTCCAAGGATACTCAGATGAAGATCTTCTGTCAGAATTAATATGTGAGCCTGACTTTTTGATCATGGTCTTGATTCTAGGTTTTTGAGTTTGCCACTAAACTCCTTGCGCAAATGATTTTTTTTTAGCATCATTTAGCCATTACAACAAATATAATCTTCATACTACAACAAAAGCTACAAATTTGTAAGTGAAAGAGGCTCCACACTGGTTATGGAACAGCCTATTGCTAGCTTTGTGGGTTCGATTCCCAGGTAGATTGCAGGTTAAAAAGTTAATGTGTCAAACAGACCAATTTACCAGTCCAGAGAAGTCTGACCAGATCCTGTGTAATTGGTTAAATTGTCAAAAAAAAAAAGTACGTACCCAAAAGCCATTCGTGCGGCATGAAAATTGAAACAGGGTGCAGTGCATTTGACTGATGAGTTAAACTGAAATGATTAGCTCAAGGCCTACACTGTGGATTGATGAGATTCTGCAGGCAACAGCAATGATGGTAGAAGTCACTGGCCAGTTTGTAGCTACAAACCTGGCTCTTGAATTTTGGTCAAAAAAGGTAAACTGTCAAAGTAATTAAGAACTATCTTTAGCACAAACAAAACAGGAAGTCATGGAAATGAGGCTAAGGGCCCGACAGAGTCACGAAGTCTACATCATTCATGTCTGGTACAACCTGGTTACATCTCCATAACCTCCATAATCTTTGGAACATGTCTGTGTTGTCCGAAGTATGTTGACTTAAAAAAAAATCCACCTAATAATCTAGAACGTGTGTCAACTAATGAGCTCAGTCTATCCGTTGTCCGAAGTATGTAAAAAAAAATCCACCTAATAATCAAGAAAGTGTGTCAACTAATGAGCTCAGTCTATCCTGCTTTAGTTGTGTGTCATTACCTCCTGCTTTGATGATTGGCAGGAAGTGAGTCAGCATGTCTCTGGTGGCAAAGAAGTTTGTCTTGAGAGTCACCTCTGCCTGGACAGCAAAGGGAGCCGTGTCTGCCACTGAAGAAGAAATGACAAAGATGAATCGTGATGGTGCTTAAGAATGAGTAACACAGATAAATCAACATTCCTGAATACAGGGTCCTCTGTTTACAAAGTCCTCGACCTACGGTTTCGTCGGTTTCGTCGCCATCTCCAATAAATTTACTAAGAAAGTTTTGTTCCGACATGCCGATGTACAGTGTTCAAACAAATTTCGCACAGGAACTAGTTGGCTAGCAGAGCAGATGAACATGTTGTTATGCAGCTTCATATGTGGACGACAGCTTTGTTAGCTCTTAGCTGGTTGTATGTTGTACATTGGATTGTGCTACATTCACTTTATTTCTTTTGTGTTGTTTTTTTGAGAAATGTTTGCCCTTCATTATGACTCCCAGGCATAAGTCAGACTCTTCTGATGTTTTTATGTCCTCCTGTAGATTATGATGTCACTACTGTGTTAGCGTAGGTGTGTGACGCAGACGCTTATGTACAGTACACGGGACTTATGGCGAACATCGAGTTACGTCGAGCTGTTGGATTTCCGACGTAAGTCCCCCACCCCCCAGATGGTATGATCAAAAAATTCTGTATATTGTTGGAAGAGAGAGACACATATCAGGTAGTTGTACATGTTTCATACCTGTTTTTATTTGCTACTAATCCAAATGATGGAAAAATGTCAAGAAAAATATGTCAAAGTACAACTAAGAATTTAGCTTAATAGAGTTTAGGAAGTTGAGAAACTTGATTCCTAACCTACCTTTGAAAGCTATTCCGGCATTATTGATCAGGACATCAACGCCTCCATACTTGTCTTTAAAGTAGGTGGCAGCAGCAGTGATGCTGTTAATGTCGTTGATGTCCAATTGTTGGAACATTGGCTTCAGTCCCTCGGAGGACAGAGACTCCACTGCTTCCTGACCACGGCCACTACAACAAGTCATTCACAAACATGAAGAAGAAATGTTGGTTCACGTCCTTGTACATACATTACAGGCTATTCTAGACACATAGACAATTAGCATAAACTAATAGGAAATAAGTTTGCAGATATTTTGAGTTTTTAATGGTTTAACTGCACTGAGATCAAGGACTCAGAGACACTGTTGGCGGTGGCCAACATTTTAGCTGTAATGCAGTGTACAGTCACTTCCAAATTAGCTTTAAAAGTATTTAAATCAAATTTTAAGCTAACGGATAAAAGCCATATATGGCAAGGTGTAAATTTGTGTTTTAAACTAAGTGAAGCCTTAATACTTAAGTTCAGAAATCAACATTAAACCTGGTTCTGGATGATGTACTATGGAAATGAAAGTTCACAGAAAACAATGCGTGACCACAAAAGTTACTCACGCATCTCTAGCTGTGAGATAAACAGTTCCTTTAAAGTCTTTGCAGAGTGCCTTCACTATGGCCAGGCCGATGCCCTTGTTTCCACCTGTTACCACAGCAATCCTGGTGGCCATATCTGGGAACATAACTGTATTAGTGAATTATGCATTACAAGGCAGGCAGCAAAAATTGCTGAGTCAAGGTGACAAAAAGAAAAGTGAGAACGGAAATTTAAAGCAACCCAAACGTTTCTTACCGTTAACAACACAATAACATATACCTGTTTGCAGTTTTTCTTTCAAAACTAAACTTTGACCGGGTTTAAAAAAAATAATTTAAAAATAAAGAAATGTACAATTACGCAATAGGCTTTGAGATTTGACTGTGGTCCCATTTACTGTATTCTGCTACAAACAACTGCATTTTCATTTTGCGCAGTCAATTAACAAGTTAACAAAATGTGACAACAACTCCAGACTTTGCAAGAACCAAGTCCGTGTAGCTACGTAACACTTCCATTGTAAATGTCTTATGTCAATATATAACATTTTCAGAGACATAAGAGACACGTTAACATCAACGAACGCCTTGGTTTATCACGGTTGCTCGACAGGGGTAAATGCACACACACAAAAAAAATATTCTTACTGTAAGATGAAAAGTGGCGGTCCTGCAGCTGCAACTACTAAAGACAACGAGGGAGAAAGGTAAAGACAACAGTGTGGGTGAGACGGCTGCTGGACGGACTTACCGCGCAGTAGACTCTGCGCATACCCGGAAACAAAATGCATATGGACTGAACATTGATTAACATATGGGCTCCTGGTACCGTCTTTTCCTGTCTTTCTTTCATTATAATATGGCTCAAAATATTATAATTTTCAAGAATTTTATGCTGCCATGATACATTTAGTTCTACAGGTCAGCAGGTTTTTAACAGTAAACTAACACACTCAACACATATGGTGTTAAATCTGGTTATAAATTGAATTTAAAGCGAAATTTTAGCAATAAATCCAGCTGCTAATAATTATCCTTCACTTAATAACTTCAAATAGCGTGGCGTTCAAGTCACAAATAAATTGAAAGATCTCTAAAAAAAAATGCTGTTCCCTTATTGACCCGAATCCAGCAAGACTTTGAGCATATGTGCCGTAGATAATTAAATCTGGGTGCATTTTAGTGACCATAATAAGTATGGATGCTCAATATTGACTATTATTAATAATCTCCAGCAATTCATTTATTTATACCAATATATGCTGGCTTATTTTGCCAGAGCTAATTTGAGGTGACATTACATATTTACTTTTGAATCATTTGAAAATAATGCCTACTTGTTTTTAAGCCCAACAAGATAAATTCCACAAATAAATTTTGACCTTGAAAAATAAGAGAACAACTTCAAAATATGAAGAAAATACTATTTCTATCTGTAGCATTTGTCTCAAACACCAGTAAGCTACAATTTTGGAAGAAGTTAAATGCAAAAAAAGGAAAACAAGAGTAAAACCACTATGTATAGCCTAATTAATTAAGTATTGGAGGAAGAAGTCTTGATATGTAACATATAACTTTGTTACCAGCAGTGACCAGCAGATGGGTCTGTGTAAAATCAAGGTTCGTAAAAGGAAGTGGAGAAGAAGTACAACTTCCGGTATGGGGTAAAGCAAAACAAGAAATAGGATAATACAGTTCGAGTGATAGCGCATGGTTGTTGGTAGTGTTTGACATTCTGGCACGTGATGTTTCAGGACATAGTTTTACCTTTTGAGGTACTTTGGGTGCTTCTCATTTTTTTGCACTTTCCTTAAAGTCATAGTATAGTACTGTATGTAGTTTTTGGCCAATGAGAGACATCCTACAATATGATTGGGTATTTTGAGAGGTCTTTTATTTTCTGAATAACCCCTGAAACCCCATTACCTACGACTAATAACATGTTCGAGGTTGGTTTTTAGTCAATTTTAGCCTGAAATGATAAATCTAACGAGGAATAATAATAATTAAATAGGTGAATTGATGTTAAACCTAACGCAGTTAGCCTTGCAAATGTTTTAAATCGGTATTATTAAAGGGTATCTTTTAGTGTGGAAATTATAACCATACTATTTTCCTCATTTGACGTTTGAGTTATTTTATCACTTTATCATATTCTGCTATAATAAATATTTAAATGTATGACCTGATACTTTTTTTTAAATACTCCAAAAGTCACAACAGGTTGTGCTACACAACAACTGTCTTACACTAATCTTCCTTTAATATAATTTGTAATGCGTGTAAGATTATTTTTCAAATTATTTTAATCCTTTCTTTTATTTTCTCTTCAAAAAACACTTTTTTTTAGGTCACTATGTCTTAAAGACAAGCAGAGATATGTGTGTTATGCCTTTATCCTCCCTGGGTTACACTTACCATTTTGTGTTTTAATGTGATTTAGGTGGAAACATGAGAAAGTGCCGCCATCAAGCTGGACGAACAGCAAGAAAGAGAAGGCAAAATTGTGAAAGCCCTGTTCAGACAGGTAAAAAAAAAAGTTGTTGCTCTTAAATATTTAAGTTGTTGTCCTCTAACATTTTTTTGGTAATCCCAAATCTTTGTCTCCCCGAATTTTTAGTTTCTCTCTGCCACCAATCACAGTACGTACGGCTTATGAAGTTTCTTCACCAACAACAATTCACCTCAACCCCTCTGCAGCCAGTCCTCTTCACTGGTAACAACTCTCTTAATCCGCTACTTGTATTATGGCAAAAGCTGTTCGACATTGAGCTCTGTTTTTGTTTGTTTTAAATTATTTTTTATTTGATTGACATAGAGCTGTTTCTTGCCCATTTTTCCCTTTCTCTCTCACTCTCTCTGACCCCCTCCCTCTCTCTATCCTGCTCTCTCTCTGTGCAGACACAGGCAGAGGACTCCAGTCTCTCAAAACTATAAAGGTATGCTAAATAACACAAAGAGTGTTTCCACAGTAAATTTATTTGCAATAAATAATAGATTTATTGGTGAATTACATCATACAATACAATGCACATATTAATAAAACCTTCTGGCTTCTGCGGAGCTAATCTCATAAAACTTTTTTGATTGTGATAAAACATTTTTATTCTTTTTGTCAGCCAGGGGAGCTTATTATTTCTCTGCCGGCATCCTGTCTTCTTACAACCTCCACTGTTCTGAACAGCTATCTGGGCCAGTACATCAAAAGGTAAAACAATTGAACTGAACTGACCCTACTTGAACTGTACTAGAATTTAAAGATTCAAGGAAAACCCATTTGACCTAGTGCAAACATCAAGCAAAACACATGCTTTCTATAACTATAAGGTTCTTCTTTGTGTCTGTGAAAAATGCCAACTAAAGGATAACCCTGGTTTGTTTCTAGCTTAGCCAAAGAATGAGTGGTAGACTTTTTTCATATACAGTATATACTTTTTTAGTTAGAGTAACATACACAAAGAAAACCAATTTTGCGTTTCTCAAAAAAATATATATTTAACCTACAGTCCATTAGTGTATTGGTAGTAGGGGTGAAACGGTGTAGGATAGCCACGGTTTGGTACACAACTCTGTAATGACTTTACGTTTTGTTACATTTTCAGCATAAAAAAAGAAATGTTGATGCACAAAAAAATGAACTGACAAATAAAATAAAAATATAATTTAGGGGTTTCCTGACTTGAATCCCACTCTCATGTCATGAAGGCCAATGTAATGTAGTCAGTGATGACGCCATTTATATTTTTAGTCAGTAAAAAAAAATCACAGGAGGAAAAAATACGTTGTAATAATCTGCATTTATTGAAAATACATAATGGTTACGTACATAATTCATACAATACAGTAAGTTTATCATACACAGCAGACAACTCAGCAGTGTATACAGTATAGCTTTATAGATTAAGGTATCTATATAGATGAATTAAAAAGAAAAAAAAAACCTGTAACACTTTCTTCTGACGTCCCTGCCCCCAGGACGTGTTGTTTCTTCTATTTCAATGTAAGGCTCGTCCATGTTAACTACAAATTAATATGAAGTTGATGACTCGAGCGAGCAGCAAATGGGTCCCGTCACTGTGGAAGACATAGTTTAAAAACATGGTTACACAAGTGTACGGATCTGTAAATACCTATATACGGGATAACTCTGTTTATTTAAGGTCACAATCAGGATTTTATAAATAATAAATATAAAATATATTTATATACAGTAAATGTCTTTAGAAGTCTGGCTGCAGGCTCCGAAGATGGTGCTGGCAAATCTATTTCAGTCTCTTTGCCACCTCAGTATCTTCCTTGCAGAATATGACGTGTTTTTTTTTTACTTCCACCACAGACGGAAACCTCGTTGTTCTGCCTTGTTGGCGCTGTGTGTGTTCCTGTTGTGTGAACGGCACAGAGGAGAGGCCTCTGATTGGTTTTCCTACATTAATGTTCTGCCCAAATCCTACACCTGCCCAGTCTATTTCACCGACGATGTCATGGCTGTTCTGCCTGCCTCTTTGCAACGCCAAGCATTTGTACAAAGGGAAACGCTACAAGAACTTTACTCATCCAGTCACGACATATTCAGGTGAGTAAAAGCTAACTAAAGCAAGTTTTATACGGAGATTTCTCCGGACTATAGGTCGCACTCTTTTCATCTTTTGCATGGGTTTGTGACTTATACTCAGGTGCGACTTATATATTAAAATATATAATTTCACATGTCTGTTTGTAATAACCAATCGCAAAAACATGTATTAATACATTATGGAGTACAGTAGTTATACATCCCGGTTTATAAGAAGACGAATATTAGCATAATATAATATATTAGCATGCAGTAAATGTTTGTTTTATACAATGCTTTGTCATTTTGCTCTTTTACATTTTGACGTTTTGCAAGTTTATTTTATTATGCACTGATTTGAAAAGGTATACCATTGAGCTGTATTCTGTTTGTTTTACCTAGATCATTACAGCCAGTCCTGAGCCGACCAGCAGAGGAGGTGTTCACATATGAAGCTGTCAGGTGTGTACACAAACACACACACACAGGCACTTTTGATCTCCATCACAACTCAATCTACCATGTTAGTAGGTGGTACTGTATATACCACTATACCAGTGTTTTTTTATTAAATATAAAATTAGAATTGAATTTAAAAAAAACACATTTTCTACAAGGAAACACAATGAACCCATGTAAAACATAATCACCCCACCCAGTTTACCAAGCTGGGGAAAAAACTGCACCTTGATGCAGTTTTATACACCTCAATATTCATGTATATATACATATAAATGTCTCTCTCTCGCGCTCTCTCTCTCAAATGCCTCATATATACATACAAATATACAGTATATACATATATGTGTGTTTGTATTTTTTTTTTTTGTTAATGTCTCTGTGTCCGGGTGTTCTTAACAAGGGGCGTAGGAAATACGATGGGCATACAAGTACCATCGACAATTTGACAGTAATTTGACAGAAATAATGAATCACTTGCTTCTGTACTTGTTCTTGTCCGGTCATCCCTCTAGGTGGGCATGGTGCAGCGTCAACACACGCTCTGTCTTCATGGCCCACCCTTCCAACGACTTCTTGTCTGGAGAAGATGTTTATGCTCTCGCTCCTT